TGTATTATCGTGTATGTGTACATATTGTGTATGTATCTTATATATGATCATATATATCATCATACGATCATATGCATAATATGTGATATATACACAATATATATTATTGTATTGTGTTGTATATATGATACTTTGTGTATATATCATATATGCCTCGCATTTTCCAATCCATTCATTTGCTGATGGACACTTAAGTTGTTTCCATCTTTGGCTATTATGAACACTGCTTTACATACAAGGATCCAAGTACTTGTTCTCAGTACTTTGGGATGTATACCTAGTAGCAGAATTCCTAGGTTATATGGTAGCTACACATTTAACATGTTGAGGCTTGCTCGTTTTTGTGTTTTGATCTTATTTGATCTACTTTGCTAACCTTATTAGCTGTAATAGATTTTTTTGTTTTGTTTTGTAGATTCTTTAGGAATTTTATCTGTGAAAATTGATAGTTTTCCTTATTCATTCCCAAGTTGGATGTCTTTCTTTGTTTAGCCTAATTGATCTAGCTAGAACTTCAAGTACAGAGTTGTGAAATTGACCAAAACAGGTGGTCTTGTCTTGTTCCCAATGTTTAGAGAAAGGCTTTCAGTTACCATTACCTTTCCAGTGCATGATGTTAGCTACAATGTTCAAAAATAACCTAAGCAGGCATGGTGGTGAATGCTGAGGAAGTTGTGTTCTAGTTCTCTTTGTGAGCTATAGTGGGAGGTCGGGGAGATGCAAGAACAGTGCTTTCTTATCACAACCAGCTCTTTCAACAAGCTTTTCCTATTGCTGTAAGCGTTGGAGTAGTTGTAGAGGGTTAGGAAAGTTGATTTCTCCCCCTTCCTTTCTTAACATTCTGATTTCTTTTTGAGGTATAAGGTCTTACTGTATATTCCCAGCTGGCCTCAAACTCAGAGATCCATCTGCCTACCTTTCCCTCTCCAAGTACTGGGATTAAAGGCCTACTTCTGAGTTCTTAATACATTAATCATAGTTTTGTTTTTGTTCGACATAGTGTCTCACTATGTAGCTTTAGTTGGCCTTAAACTAGTGGTCCTTCTGATTGCCAGGATTATAAGCATATACCATAATGCCTGGTTTATTCATAGTTATTTTAAATTCCTTATGTGATAATTCTCAAGGCTGTGCCTTATCTTCATCTGGTTCTGATACTTCTTTGTCTATTAAGATAGTTTTTCTTACCCTTTTGCATGCCTTGTATTGTGTATGTGCCCACTGGATATGGTATATTGGGTGATACAAACTGAAATAAATAGGCCTTTAGTAAATGGTTTATGTTTCTCAGCCAGGAACTGAGCCATTAAATTTTTTTTTCATTCATTCATTCATTTGGTTTGTATGTGTGCATGCATGCAAGTGTGTGGCTGCACATGTGGAGGTCATAGGACAATTCACAGGGATTGAAGTTTCCTTCAAACGTGAGTTCTGAGAATGTAACTCAGGTTCTCAGAGTTGGCACCAACCACCCTTACCTGCTGAGCTATGTTACCTCACTGGCCCATTTCTAATGGTAGAAGTTTAGCTGCTACTGCCTTCAGTTTTCTCTAGAGCAGTGCTTCTCAACCTTCCTAGCTGTGACCCTTTAATACCCTCATGTGACCCTCATGTTGTGCTGATCCCAACCACAAAATGATTTTTGTTGCTACTTCATAACTGTAATTTGTTACTGTTATGAATCGTAATATAAATATGTGACATGCAGGATATCTGATATGCAACATCCAAAGGGGTCGTGACCCACAGGTTGAGAACCTCTGCTCTAGTGCCTTTTGTTTGTTTTTTCTACCCTTCGGCCCTTTCCTTTCCCCAAGATCTTTCAATAGAGACTGTTGTTTGCACCACATTTGGTGATGATCCGTTGTTGTGTACTGGATCCTTCTTGAAATGGTGGCAAAAAATAAGATGGGGGAGAGTGCTTTGTAATCTAGGGCTTCAGTCGGGCACAAGTCCTTGGCTGTATTCTTTACAAATACTGTAGGGCTACTGCTTCTTTTTTCCCTTGTGTTAGGTGAAACAGAAGGAACACTAGGACTAGAGCTAATTAGTTCCCCTTCTTCCAGGATATATAAGCTTCTGATATATTTTGTTGGGAGCGTTGTTAGCCTTTGTTATTGAAGAACATTCTGAATTTATTTGAACTGGGTCCGATGGTACAGATTTATAATCCTAGCTGTTGGAGAGGCTGAGGCAGGAGATTCCAAGTACAAGGTGGGCCTGGGCGATAAGAGTGAATTGACTTGAAACTGTTGCCTTTCTCCAGTGTTTATTTCAAAAAGGCTTACATTCTCCTTCCCCAAAGAAGAGTTTTTTGTTTGTTTGTTGTTGTTGTTATTTTATTTTTGGTTTTTTTGAGACGGGGTCTCTGTGTGGCTCTGGCTGTCCTGGAACTCCCAAGCTGGCCTCAAACTGCCTGTCTCTCAAGTGCTGGCATTAAAGGCAGGCGCCATCATGCGGAGCAAGGAAAAGATTCTTATTGGCTCTTACTTCTGGGGATATTTCAGAATGGTTACTTTTCCTCTCCTTCAAAGGGGAGGAGATTTCAGAGCCAGAACCTGGTGAGATTCCTGGAGGCAAAGCCATGGAGTAGGAGGGTCTCTTCCCCTTGGAACTCTCACTCCACAAGCTTGTCTTACTCAGCATTTGTCAGATTGCTTTTCTTTACTAATATTTTACCCTAGTGCCTTCTGCCTCAGGTAAGAGTCTTGGGTGTGATTGCATGTATTTTCCTATCTAGAGATAGGGGGCTATTATGTTTTCCGGTGGGCTGGAGCAAACTTGCCAGTTTTCAGTTTGTTAGGGTTTTTCTTGCTGTAATGACAAGAATGATGATATCTGTGAGCACTGCATGTGTTGGAGCTGAAACTGGAAGTCCTACGTTTATATTTTAAAATTAGAAAGATCTTGTCCAGTTTAAAAATAATGCTCTTCAAGAGGGTTTTAAACTTTCCTGTGAACCATTTGCTTGGCTAAGATGACTCATTCTCAGTTATTTTCATCCTTTTGAATCTTAGATCTCCATTTTCATATGTTTAGTAAGAACGTTTTCAGACCAAAATATTTGAAAAGCTTAAGAACTTGATATATTTCTTGAAAATTGCTAAGAACTGTGCCCTGAATTCATAAAAAAAAAAAATACGACTCTTGCTTCCCCCAGCATTGTTTTTTGATTTACCTTTTAGAGAATGTGCTAAGGTAGTTCTAGGGGAGTTTCTTTACTATTTTACCCTGTTTGTTTTTGCAAAAGTAACTCAATTTTTAAGGCACTTTCCAATCTCTGGAGACTCGGCCCTGTTTAAATTTGACAAATGAATGAGAGTGGAAGTCTTAGACTGTCAGGGCCTTGTTTTCAATTCGCCTGGAGGAACGAACTAATTATAAACTCCAGATCTTGGTGACTTTAGCTTAATAGGACTACTTTTATAATCTGTGCGACAGAGGACAGTTCATCTAAAATGTGTTATTTATCCAGCTGAGAAAGTACTTTGTGTACTTTGAAGCCTTATGATTTGATAACTTGCTAACCATTTTAATTTGGGGGAGCTCCAGTTCTTATTCGTGGATAACAGTTGCAGTCAGTCTCAGGTGATTGACACGCTGTGAAGTTCGTTAACCTTGCACTTTTTCTAGGATTCATTTTAAATTTTGTTTTTCCTCACAGAATGTAGTGTGAGGAATGGCCATTAAACCAAAAGCAAATTAGTTGGATGGTGTCTAAAATTGGTTATTAATTGGCAAAGTCTTACTGTGTTTGTGTTAAGAAATTTTTTTCCTGTTTTATTATACCCAATTGTTTACAATGACTATCTGTGTTTGGGAAAATGTTTTTTGAAGGAGGGGAATTAAAATGTTAAGTATGATGAATGTAATTTTAACTCAGCAGATGAAAATTACTTTATAAATGATTGGCTGCATTGAAAGTATTTAATTAAAAATATTAGTTGTTTGTTATGTAAAAATTATCTGTGGCCCATTCCTGGTGAAACTCATTTATTCTCTGAATTGGAGCTAGAAAGCCCTTCACTCGCAAAGAACTAGGGACTCTAGGGAGGAAATGGATGAAGACTAGCAAGTCTTCAGAACTGCTCAGCTTGTAGTTTGCATCATACCAGCTTCCACCCACACTCAGTAGGCTAGGGGATGGTATCAATGCTCCTCCTGAAAATGTTTTTATCTTAAGTTCTTCATATATCATAATTATATCCTCCTAACTCCAGGTCCCCATTGTTCTTGATATCTTCGTCACATTTTGTGTCCACCAAAACTCACTTGCTATCTCTTAGCATAGAGTTCCCATCCTTTTCTGATCTCCATGTCCCTTGCTCTAATCCTGTCCTGCCTGTCCTGCTAGCCCTCCCACTCGCCCTGCAAGCCTCAACCAACCTTTTGTAACTTCTTCCATGGCCTTGGTCTTGTCCTAGTTTCACAGTGTTATCTTTGTTTCAGCATCCTGCTGCTAAGTGGTACCTGACACAGCTCTTCTAGGACCCTCATCCCTTACACTGCCCACTTCCTCAACAGCTGCCTCAACCTCCTGCCTTTTAATTCTTTGAATATAGCAAGTTCTTCACCTTTCTAATCTCTGCTGTTTCTTTCACATTCAGCAATCATTTTCTTACTTTTTGTCTGACTATCTCTAATCAATCTGGCTGGAGCTTTCTTACCTTATTCTTTGTCAGTGCCTCCTGGTTGTTATCTTCTCAGCATCTATTTCAATTTGCAGCTATTGTATATTCGCTTGCTCACTGAGACTTGCTTTGATTATAAGATATCACACACACACACACACACACACACACACATACACACACACACACACATCCACATCCACACACACACATACACCTATTTCTGAAATTAAGGTGTAAGATACATCTTACACATATATACAAGATATAATTTTTACAAGATAAGTCATTTCATAATTCCAAAATGAAATGACTTATCTTATAATAAATTATATTATGTATTTATAAATTATATCATGTATTTTATAAAATGTTATGCTTTTTGAGACAAGCTCTCTGTAGCTCAGGATAACTCAATAGGTATCCCAGGCTGGTCTGGAATTCACTAGGTAGCAGAGGTCGGCCTAGAACTCTTCATGATCCTTCAGCTTCAGTCTTCTGAGACTGGCATGTACCAGCAAAACACCATATTTGAAATGATATATTTTCCCCAGTTGATTGTATGTTCCACAAGTATATTATCTTTTACTCACCAGTAAGAGCTCATGCCTATTATAGTACATTTCACCTTGTAGACACCTTGTAAATAATGGATGAATGAATATCATTGTCTCTCTTTGGGAAATGTTGGCCCAACTTCTGAAGCAGCATCAATCAGTGTATGAGTATGAATTGTTAATATGCCAAAGAGTTGACTCATTATTTTTGGAGATTGTCTTCTACTTAAATGAAGAAGACCTTTAAATTTATCTGTTTTCCCATTTATGTAACTTGTTCCATTCTAGATACACATATGTTCTGGTGTAGGAACACTTACCATTTATAAAAAAATGAATTCACATAAGCTAGCTTTTACCTGGTGTCAGCAATAGTCTTTTATTAGGAGAAGGCACGAGGAAGGTACCAAACAGCAGCAGGCTTTTAACCTTCAGGCAGGTGTGACTCTTGAACTTACTTTTTCATTTACTTCATCCTCCAAGGCGTGCAATCACTTGGTGTGCCCACTTCCCTTTAAAGTGCAAGAACAACAAAAGGGCAGCATGAGTAAGTGGAGTGCCTTAGACCAGCTCCTAGAAAAGTCTCAACCCTACTCCAGAGCTGGAGGAAAGATATGGCTGCAGATCCTTTTCGTTTTCCGGATTCTGCTCCTGGAGACTGCCATCGAGTCAGCCTGGAGTGACGACCAGCTCAATTTCCATTGCAACACTCAGCAGCCTGGTTGTGAAAATGTCTGCTATGACCAAGCTTTCCCAATCTCTCACGTGCGCCTCTGGGTCCTACAGATCATATTTGTGTCTGTGCCTACACTCTTATACCTGGCACATGTGTTCTATACCATTCAGCAGAAAAAGAAGTCGAAGAAGCAAGAGAAGGAAGTTGGAGTTGCTCGATTTGATGGTGCCAGTGTGGAAATGCACTGGCAGAAAATTGAAGTAAAGAAGTCCAAGTGTGGCAGTGAAGCCCATAGGAAGGTGAAAATTAGAGGCAGGTTGCTGCTGACCTACATACTCAGTATCTTCTTCAAGTCTGTCTTTGAGGTGGCCTTTGTGCTGATCCAGTGGTACATTTATGGATTTACCCTGAAGGCCGTTTACATTTGTGAACACTCTCCTTGCCTGCATCAGGTGGACTGCTTCCCCTCTCGCCCCACAGAAAAAAGCATCTTCATCCTCTTCATGCTGGTGGTGTCCCTGGTATCTTTAGTCTTGAATATAATTGAGCTGGTCCAAGTCTTATTTAACACCATTAAGAATTGTGTGAGAGATGAGGATGAGTTTTACTATGGTACAGCTGATCTACAGAGCCTTTCCCAGGAGTCCTCACCAAGTGTTCTCACTACCATGATTCCTAAGGATCAGGTGGTTCCTGTGAAACAATCTTCAGTCTATGTTTAAAGTGAGCAAAACTATGTCAGTTACAGTATGTAACAGAGTCAAAGCGGGGAAGGGCAGGCAGGAAGTATCCTTTCTGCCTTGCACTCAGCCTTGTCTTCACTCTGATGATAAGCAGAATTTTCAGAGGGTTTGGATGGAGAGAAAAGCAAAACAAAGATACTGAACACTAGTGTTGTAGAGTAGCAGATATCCAGCAGTAGCAGTGGTCATGACAATAGCAGCCTGCTATCCTAGATATTGCAATTTGGGCTTGAAAACATTGTGATTTTGCTTGGTTGCTAAAGGGAATCAAAGTGTAGTAGAAAGTGTACCCATGCTTCAGTACAGATGGTGTTCAATGGCCTCAATTGTAAAAACTAGCAAATACAAAGACATTAGACCACAGGGTCTGGGATAGGAAGGGGAAGAGACTTGTAACCAAGGCATGTGTTACTATTTAAAGTGCTTGACTCTGGAGGGTTAGGCATCTAGCTCACCGGTAGATGATTTGCCTAGCATGTGTAAGACCTCAAGTAGCACAAGAATAAAACAATAGTAACTTTAACAAATGAACTAAATAAATAAAATGACTGACTCAAAGAACTTCTAGTCCAAATATAACTTGTATTAGGCAGTGCATAAGGGCCATTCCTCTCCCATATTACCTTAGAATGGTTCTGTGTATGGGGAAGAGTGATTTATTATTTATCCATAGAAGCAGATACGGTGTAAATTCACAAACCTACGTTTTAAAATAATACAAACATACCATTGAAAGTTGAGCCTTTCTCTTGGATTTTAGTGTTTGAGTCCATTCTGTGTTTATACTGTTTAATTCCTGATGTAAAAGTAAATTATCTTTTCCCTTAAAATGCATCCCCCAATTTATTGAATGATGTGTAATAGTTCAGTTAATTGTGATGAGTTGTCTTTTTCTCTTGTATATTATAGCAGCAATCCTGTTGCTGACAGAAACAATTTATTTTTCTTTTCCAAGATAGAGTCAGAGCCCCAAATGAAGCAATTGTACTGAAACAGCACTTATGAACACTACAAACTTAAAGAAATGCTTAGAGGTGAACTATGAAATGTGCCTACATGAATTTGGCAATAGTGGACATTCTTGACTTTCTTCTACATAATGCATATTAATTCAGATGTTGCCTTCTGCTGTGAGTTTGGCAGTCTCTTGGGATAACTGGCATTTTTCATGTTCATATTAAGATTTTATTTGGAAAGTAGGAGAGGGTGAGGAAGATTTGTGAAATATCTGTGTAACTGATTTGAAACAAATAAAAGAAATAATACCCATTTCTTCTCATGCCTTTTGAAACATTCCACAGATGATTGAAAAATGTTGGGCTGCAGACTTTTGTTCTTGCATGTCAGCTCCACACACAATTTTATTCAAGAAATAATAATTTGGTTACCATTTGATGTTAATCTACTATCATGTTCAGCTTTGTTTCATGCAATGCAGGCCTATCTTATCTTATTCTAGAGAATTCTTTATTCAATAAAGTTGTGAGAGTGTGGTCCATGTGTATGCCTCCTCTGATAGCTTCTTACTGGTCTTTTGAACTCTTCATTGGTGCATCTTAATTTAAGCAAATTAAGCTGGGTGTGGTGGCTCATGGAGGCCACACAATTGCAGAGTGTTCTAGGCTAGCTTGGGCTACAGTGTGAGACACTCCCCTACCTCCTGCCCATGAAGCAAAATACACTGTATTTACCACAGTTTTTAAAATTCAGGTGGACTGACTCTGTGACATGATTCTAGGATCAGCCTCCTTCATTTCATGTAATAGAATCATGGCTATATCCATGACTTCCAGATATGCAAAAAGAATGCAGTTGGGTTTTTCCCCTTCCTTTTTAAGGGATGTACTCTCATCATTAAGCATCTTCCCATCCCAAGGAACTGGGGGAAGTGGAGAACACAGGTATAGATCATCAAACCTGTAGCTTATAACGTCTGGTTCTGACAGTTGACACAGTCTTATTTGGAAAACTTAGTCTCTTAGTTAAATGATGAGTTTTAGTTCTTCTTTTTAGAAGTGGTTTGTGAAGATTAAGCAGTTATTTAGTAATGGGGTGCTTGTGCCTTTTGGACACTGCAAAAGTTCTGAAACCATGGAATCAGATTGGGCTCTGCTACTGTCACTCCTGTTCCTGTTTCATTTTCACATGTGGCTTGCTTGTTTTTTTTACACTTTTTACTGTGAGGTAATTGCAGATTCAAACGTAATTGTAAGAAATAATAGACTCTGTATATCATTATATTCACTTGTAACTTTTTTTGAGACAGGCTCTTTCTATGTAGCCTTGTTTGGTTCAGAATTTGCCTTTAAGGAACTCCCTCTGTAGATAAAGACTGGTCTTGAATTTACAGAGATCCATCTGACTTTGCCTCCATAGTGTTGGGATTAAAAGTGTGTACCTCCACATCTGGCCAAATAAGTGTTTCTTAAGAAAGTCATAGAACCAGGTATCATGTATCCCAGTCTGGTCTTGAAGCTGTGGTGCTTTACTATGAAGCTGAAGATGACCTTGAACTTCTTCTGATCCTCTTGCCTTCACCTTAGTGCTGGGATTATAAGTGTGTGTCACTATGCCTGGTTTATACAGTGCTGCAGATTGGGAATATGGTGATATTTTATTTGTACTGAAATGTGATTTTATTTGTATGTTAATAAATAAAGTTGCCTGGGGGTCAGAGCTAATAGCAAGCCATAGCAGAAGCTGGGTGGTGGTGGTGCATGCCTTTAATCCCAGCACTTGGGAGGCAGAGCTAGGCAGATCTCTGTGTGTTCAAGAATACAGCCAGCATGGAGACACACGCCTTTAATCTCAATACCAACCATAGAAGACCTGGAGGTCTGTACAGACAGGCAGTAATGAGGAGGACATGTGGTTGGGTTTACAACCAATGAGAAGGCAGAATAGAAAGTCTATAAAAAAGACAAACAGACAAGAAGTAGCTCTCTTGCTGAAGAGGACAACAGCGGCAGTGAAGGGTAAGGTTTTTAGCTCTTATCTATTGCTCTGACCTCTTGGGCTATTAACTCTGCATTTGACTCTGTGTTTCTTATTTAATAAGACCGTTCATCTACATTGGCCCATGACTTTGTGCATGCCAAGCAAGGACTCTGCCACTGAGCTACACCCCCAACTTTTGCTGTATTTTTTTGTTTGTTTGTGTTTTTAAAACAGGATCTCTTGTAACACATGCTGGTCTTGAACTGAGTATGTAGTCAAGGTGACTTTGAATGTCTGACTTTTTTTCTTCTTCTACCTGCCATTTACTAGAAATAGAAGTGTACACCATTATACCTGTTAACTTTTAGCATAATATCATAGGTAGACAATTGACATTGACATAATCCATTAACCTTCAGATTTCACCAATTTTATATACACTCATTGTGTTTAGTTATATATAACTTGTGTAGAGTTGTTTATAATTTGTGCAGAGTTGTGTGCCCACTATAGTCAAAATACACTGTAGTTTCAGCAGTAGTACCTTTTTATAGTCATAGCCACATTTTTTCCTTATCCCTGGCCCTTGGTAACTCCTAATCTTTACTTAACCTATATAGTTTTGTCATTTCAAGGATGCTATTTAAACAAATTATATAGGCCATAACACTTTTTAAGTTGGTTCTTTTGGCAATTGTTGTTGTTTGTGTGTACTATCGTGGTATATATATGCACCTGCCTGTGCAAGCACATGTGGAGGTCGGAGGTTGATACCACCTGGGGAACCTGGGAGGAAAGAGGCTATCCTTTCTGGGCCAGAGCTAGATCTCGATATCTCTCTCTCTCTCTCTCTCTCTCTCTCTCTCTCTCTCTCTCTCTCTCTCTCTCTCTCTCTCTCTCTGTCTCCCTCTGTGTGTGTGTCAGTGTGTTATAATAAAGATCCCCAAATAAAGTTTATAAGCAACACTTTAAAAATTATTTTTGAAATGGGGTCTTGCTATATATCTGTGTGGCTCAAGCTTGCCTTGAATGCACTGTGTAGTACAGAGTGGCTTCAAACTCATAATCCTTTTGCCTCAGCCCCCCCAAGTGCTGGAATTGCAGGTATACACCAGCATATCTGGCTATAAGCAATATTTTACATGATAATATTAGTTCATTCTTCAGACTTACTTTTTTTAAATTTTTTTTTTATTTTGCAATACAATTCAGTTCTACATATCAGCCACGGATTTCCTTGTTCTCCCCCCTCCCGCCCCCCTCACCTTCCCCCCAGCCCATCCCCCATTCCCACCTCCTCCAGGGCAAAGCCTTCCCCGTGGACTGAGATCAACCTGGTAGACTCAGTCCAGGTAGGTCTAGTCCCCTCCTCCCAGGCCGAGCCAAACAATCCTGCATAGGCCCCAGGTTTCAAATAGCCAACTCATGCAATGAGCACAGGACCCGGTCCCACTGCCTGGATGCCTCCCAGACAGATCAAGCCAATCAACTGTCTCACCCATTCAGAGGGCCTGATCCAGTTGGTGACCCCTCAGCCATTGGTTCATAGTTCATGTGTTTCCATTCGTTTGGCTATTTGTCCCTGTGCTTTATCCAATCTTGGTCTCAACAATTCTCGCTCATATAAACCCTCCTCATTCTCGCTAATTGGACTCCCAGAGATCCACCCGGGGCCTAGCCATGGATCTCTGCATCCAGATCCCTCAGTAGTTGGATGGGGTTTCTAGCACAACAATTAGGGTTATCAGGTAGCTGCAGTGGACCCTTGATGATCAGTAGTCCTTGCTTTGAAATAGCTCGTAGTGCTTGATAGAAAATTTAACATGTGGTTTCTGATATGTATATTTATTCGATATCGTATTTCTTTATGTCTTCTAATCAATCTACTACTTTAGCTTCATTTTTGTCCAAATACAGAATAACTAGAAGGACATAATTCAAAGCCAGTATGCCAATGTTATCCATGCTTAATTTAGACTGTGAACTCAAGGACTTCAGTGAAGCAGTTATAATCAGACATGTTCCTCTACTAGAAAAGATCCATGCTTCTCTTTACCTTTTCAGCAAAAACATTTCATTTCCCCATTTGCATACATACCCCATGCACTTGGTACTGTGTCTTAACAATTAATTCTATTCCACGTATATACAGAGTACTGCTGTTTGTTAAGAAATAATATATATTTTGTTTTTTCCCAAAATTTCTCATTTTTTCTCTTAAATATCTTGAAGCACTTAGCCCATTGTGATATATCTGATGCAGATATTTTTCAAATTCATTCAGCTTCATTGACCATGCAATTTGAATATAATTTATTGATGTAAGGATAGTCTTTGTCCTAGTTAAAGACAAACCGCACAGATGAACTTTAAAACTTGAAATTAGTTCATTAAGCAGACAGTTTACTGTGGATTTAGGACAAAGGACATGAAGGGCATGATCAGCGTCTATAGAAAGCTTACTATATGGAAGGAGAAGGCTAGCAACAATACAGTAATGGGTTGTGCTCTGTGTCCTTGAGGAATGCAGTTTGTCAGAGAATGAACAATGTATAAAAAGAAAATGGCTTTAAGCTTAGATTTAGTTCATCCTTTTAACAAAGTAATATTTCAGTCTTTACTTTTTCAGTGTTTTTAGTTAAAATTTCTTGTCTCATTTCCTTGTCCAGGATGTCCTTTGTCTCATTTCTTTATGATTACTGAAAATTTCATCAGAGGTACTTAAAAGTTGTGTACTAGCCAATCACAGTGGCTCACACCTCCAAGCCCAACATGTGGGAGGCTGAGGCAAGATGATTGCAACAAAGTGGAGAGCAGCCTGGACTACAAAGTAGGCTTCTGTCTCAAAAGAAAAAGAAAAACAAAATAACAACAAAACTGGAATGTCCAGCTGGTCCATCTCATCCTTTTGGAGGTCCTTTCTGCTACGCATTGTGGTACAGATTTAAAATAAGGCCCCTGTTCTCACAAATGTTAATTGTTGCCTAGCTTGGGAAGTAAGGCCACATGGTCAGTCATAGGGAAGTTCTTGGATGGAGGTGTGGATAGAACGCTAGAGATCATGAAAAGAGAAGTGACAGGACAAGATAGAAGGCCCTACAAATGCTTCCCAGAGAAATGGTTTGAAGGTGAAAGAGGAATGAACTAGCAGTGTAGCTGCCTTACTTTCAAGTAAGGAAAGCTAAAATGTGTTACTTCCTTGAAATGCCCTGCCTGCACAGAGACTGTGGAGTTGTCCCATCTCTGTTTTCTCTAATAAGCTGTTACCATCATCTACTTTTTTGTGGTATTAGGATCAAATCATGCATTCTAGATAAGCATTCTACTACTGAGCCACATCCCCGGCCCCGGTCTTCTTCTTTTGTCTTTAGCTTTTCCTTCCAGAGTGTAACCTCCATGAGAAAAGAGCCCCCTTGTACTGTTAGCATAGTGCCTATCACACAGAGAAACTTGAAAAATGTTTGTCAGTGAAATGAATGAATGAAGAATGATGAATACTTGAACAGATGGAAACAAGTATATATAAAGACTCAGTTGAGAAACTGCAAGGAATTAGATGTGGCAGAAGAAGCCCGTTAAAAGATAAAGACTTGTGAT